TCAATGTTTGACTGTTTCTTATTAAACCCCGGGCTAATAAGTGAAGCACATCACCAGACAGGACACATTCATCAGCAGACCCCCGGTGTAGAGAGGACAAGTGGGATAATTAAAAACAAAAATGGGAAAAAAATCTTCAACTGAGATTCATATAGGGATAAGATGCAAGAAACTGGGAGCCTGGGCTGTTGGTGTATGACACACAGGCTGCAGCAAAAAACCTTGGCTGTGTCCACTACCATCTGTGTGTGTGTTCCAGCGACGGAGGTGGATGTGACGGACGATGACGGCCTGATTCACAAGCGCTGTTGTGATAGACTCAAATGTTTGCCTTTTCTACTCAGCAAATATAGCACTCAGCCTCTCATACATTTTGTATTACCACAGTGGCGATAGAAAGAAAAGAGTAAGGGAGGGTGGGGATGACATGAACATGATGAGATAAGGGGCAAAGGATGAGAGGCGTTTGGAGAGTCTGGAAATGGATGTCAGAGAGGCAGTGAGTTAAATAACATAGCTTCAGGAGTGAGAACGCTACAAGCAAGGTCAGAGGAAATTAAAAATAGGACAGGCGTACAGGCAAAGAACAGCCATGTAAAGCTTTTCTGTTAGTCAGCCGCCCTAGAGATGAGATGAGACAGAGCAAAGAATAAAAAAAACGTCTTTGCATAACTCTCAATACGTCAAATGATTACGTCTCGGTCTAAAAAACATTCACCCTTGAAGCGCTCGGATTTCCAAACAGATAGAGATGCTTGTCACTGCTATTGGATACTGGTGTCATAACCTGAGATTACCTTGACAGTCTAAAAGGGTTTTCTCAACCGATGCTGCACCACACAGCCTCTGTTTCCATGGTTACAGCCCCAGAAAAAGTTTATAGATTATGACGGATGCTGTTGTTCGGGTGTGTTACGAGTGTGCATCCATGTTGTGTGCGCGTATAGATACCAGTTACCAGACGTCCGTTGGTTATGTAACACAACACTGCGCCATGCATACAAAGGTTTTTCTCAATGACACAGTTTCAGAAGCTTAAATATGGCAAAGATTTGAACTGGAATAACCCTGGCAAACGTCTGCACAATATGTTGAGATTTCTAATGTTGAGGATTTGGAGGAGGAAAAAAACTTGAAAAGCCAACGAAAAGAAATGCAATATGGTGCAACACCCTTCTCATACAGATATAATGTGAGTTTTTTCTGGGGAAAAAAAAAGAAAACGCTCAATACTCGGGGCAAATCAGCCAGACAGTATCTCATTTGTGGTGTTATAGTGTGTTTATATGTGTGTGCTTGCTGCCTGGCCTAAGATAATGCAGGAAAAAAACATAAGTAAGACATTGAATATCAAATAATTCGATTTTGAATGTGGAAGACTGTCATTCATCACCTCCTGTGTTCATTCACATTGAGCCAGTGCTGAGAAAAATAAGCAGGTCAAAAGGCAATGATGGTCCTGAAACCTCCTAAAATTAAACACACATCAGTTGAAACAATTGTACTGATCATATGTAGATTATATGCAAACTTAAAATAAACAATACAGTGAGAACATAAATTTGTTTTCTTTGTGGGCATCCACTGAAAATCTGAAGGTATCAAAAATATGACATAGTATACTGCTTAGCATCTCAGAAGCAACTGAAGGAAATCTGGATAATGACTGCCCCTGATCTGAGAGTCTGAGCCTTTGTAAGCAAAGAGTCACACACAGCAATAGTGAATATTGTACTTGTGACCTTTGATTGGTGTTTAATGCATGCTTGGGGTTATTAGATAAACTTTCTTGCATTTTTTTTCTCAAAATATGTGCACATAATTCAACATCTACACATTTATGAGTTTTATTTAGAAAAATCTGAAAAGCGATAGTTTGATTATTTGCATTAGCCTTTATCTTTGTACTCATTGTACCCCAGAGCAGCTTTATGATTGCATTGGCCTTTATCGTTGTACACACTGCACCCATGAAATTCCTCAAATTAAAGAATAATAACAATAACTATGATGGGATGTTTGTGTGGGTGTGCTTGTGTTCTTTATCTGTTTTTTAGGAGCAAAGTTTTGGAGTGGAGAGCTTTTGGAAAAATAAACATCTTTTAGCTTCTTCCTTACTTTTCACACTCCTTCAGTGGTTAGAATTAGCT